ATCCCCATCCTATGGTTACAGTACCTATACCACCATGTACTACCTTTTCCTGGGTGCTGGGGATCCAGACTCATGCCCTCATGTTTGTACAGCAGTCACTTTACTGACTTAACCATCACCACAGCCTCCAGATGAATATATTCTAAGCACAGACTTTGCTCCTCTCATTGTTTTGGCAAGGAAAAGGAGGCATTGTGTAGGAGTTCAGCCTCTTCTTTCACAGGGAACATCAAGTTGCTGGCACAAGAATCAATAGTAATGGAGGAGTCACAGGCCAGGAGTGTTATTACCCAGTTGTCCCAAGTGCCATTAGGATTATCTCTCAGAGGTGAGCTTCACCACTGGGCACTGTGCTAGAGAAGAGGGGTTGAGCTGTGAGGTTGTTGTCCTCCACTGGCGATCTGGTAGATTAGGGGCAGTCAGATGAAGCATGCCAGGCTGGTAGGGTTCTCAGTCCCAGCAACAGAGAGCTTCATAGGAAATTAGAAGGAAGGGGGTAAATGACACTTGGAGAGGAATGGTGTGTGTAAGAAAAGGGGGAGGCCAAGTAACTGAAATTTTGTAAAAATCAAATCTTGGAAATTATCCAGGCATTCCTTAGATTTTACCAATGACCAGTGAGGCCTGGGGACCTGATAACCTTGAGGACACATCTGAGAGCCAGAGTACTGGAACACAGGTCTTGTGGCGCCTAGTCTGGTATTTTGCTTTTTGTTTTTATTTGATATATGGCAGTGTTTTGCAGCTTGGAGGGAGCTGAGGTCAATGTAGTGGGTCACAGCTGGCATCTAATTTAGAGAGAGAGAGAGAGAGAGAGAGAGAGAGAGAGAGAGAGAGAAGGGGGGGAGAGAGAAAGGGAGGGAGAAAGGGAGAGAGAATAGGAAACTATCAGAGTGTTATATAGTGAGGGTAATTATTTCCTGAAACATTGGCTTCTGTCTTGAGTTGGGCTGGGGCTATAGCTCAGTAGTAGAGCACTTGCCTAGCATGCACCAAGGCCCTGTGTTCAATCCTTAGCACAAAAAAGTTAAAAAACAAAACAACCCCCCCCCAAAATCTCTATCTTAACTTGCCATAGAAAGCATTTTTGTGTGTTTTAGCCATGAGTCCTGATCAAGAGAGTTTTTATGTGGTAGTGGAAAGCTCAAGACTTGTGAGTGGGAGATACCTGATTTTAGATACTAAAAAACTCTGATCTGTGATGGGTTCTATGGCTGTGGGCCTGTACCTAACTTTCCGGCTTCAGTTTTCCAGTCTAGACCTGGGCTGGGTAAGACTGCCTAGAGGTTTCATATATTAAAGCATGTGGGTTCTGGTCCCAGCTCTGTGCTGGTAGTCATTCAAGAGCTCCCTGGGGTCTGCATTTGAGTTTGGGAAAGTGCCTCCTGGTGAGAGCATGGTCTTCAGGAACCACAGTGAGTTAGCAGCACGGATGTATTATGCATTTGCTTCTGGGCTTGGAAACTTGAAACAGAATTGAGTCTGTGGACTTGGGAGTACTCTCTTCGTCTTGGCATGGTGGGAGGTTCATTCACCTCTGCTGTTCTCTCAGGATCAACAAGGCTCACAGGGAGATGAGCATCACTGATTTCCTAGCTGGCCTTTTTGTTTTAATCCAGTATTATGACTTTTCCACTTTTCCAGTGACACCAGTTTTTACCAAGTTTTCCTTCATCTTCTAATTGCTTCTCTGCCCAGTTACGATTTTTACTCATTTTTTAGGGGAGGGTGCTAAAATTAAACAGGAAGTAAACAATCAGAGGAAAATTAAAATACAAATAATATCTAGGTAGTGGACAGCTGTTGGAGTCAGTGTGAGCTACATGCAGGGGGCTTTTTATGGGGACTTGAGAGGATGGTCCCATGCTTTCAGAAACAGTAGTTGTCACATCTTGCTGGAGAAAATGTGATTCAGGGCAGGATTTTTCTCTACTTTCTGTTTTTCCCCTTTTCTCTCTGTTCCCTCAGCCTCCTGTCTCCCACCCCTTTCTTGCCTGGCCAGTTCTATCTCATATTTGAGATCCCACTGGAGAGCAGAGACCAGTCTCAGCCCCCAGACAATTCAGGCCAGGGGCTAAAACACTCCCATAAATCTGAGGCTCATTTTAGTGCCATGGTGAAGCTGTGCGAGCGCTGGTCTCCATGGCCCCTGCCCTCTTGCTTTATGGGCTGCTTTGGCTCTTCTCTATAAAGAGGCCCAATGGAGTCATTTGAAAATTCTTATCAGTTTGCTGACAGCTATATGGCCTTTCTGCTGAGTCCAGAAGCTCAAGCAGGCGTGTGAAATTTTTGATATTAAAATTGAAGAAAAATGCCAGGCAGAAGAGACTGGGTAGTGCAGTGGTGATTGGAGGTAAAATGAGGCTAGCCAGGCCATTAACTTTTGTGGGTCTGACCTCACTATTGGCCATTGGTAGGGAGGTAGCCAGGATGAGGCTGGCATAGAAAGGGGCTTCCATCTCTAACCCAGTGCTGACAAATGCTGTTCCCTGGCAGCTTGCTGTCCTAGCAGGAGGTAGGCAAGCAAGCCTATCCCAGGGGGCTGGGGTGGCCAGATTGGCAGCTGTTTCTCTCCTAAAGGCAATGTCTGGCCAGTTGCAGCTTGCTGTCTGTGTGTCTGCAACATTGTTGTTACTGAAGTTAAAGGGACTTTGATGAGTTTGCTTCCCTGCCATTTAGACCTTATCCATAGCCATCCTCCCAGAGTTCTTTGTGGAGAGCCCAGGCCCATCAATGTCTGAGCCTTCTGCCCTCCCCTGCCTGGAGAATAGGCTGGAAGCTGCCCCTTCTTCACCCTTTCCACTTTCCCTTTCTTTCTTTGCTGGAAAACTCTTGCGGCCAGCAACTGAAGGGAAGGAAAAGCCATTACCTGGATTGAGGCCAGTGGCTTGATGGGAGCTTCAAAATCTTTGGCATCTCCTGCCCAGAATGCTTTTCCAGGCATTTTAAACCTAGCATTCCCCCCTCACCCTGCTTCAGCTTCCCAGCCTTGCCATTTGGGGGTGGGGTGGGGGTTTCCTCTGCCCCTTTGCTCTTCTGACAGAGCTTTAGGAGAGTTGGTGGTGATATGCCAAGTCCAGTGGACACATATTTTTTTAACTGCTCTGTATTCCTTTCTGTTATAAACACATTATTTTCCCTTTTCCTAGTAGTTTTGCAAGCATGTTCCGTTTAAAACAGTCATTTAGTTTGAGGTTGAGACAAAAAACAAGGAGAATTTGTGGTGTGGTAGTCAGACAGACATATGCAGCTGTAATGTAGGGTTGAGCCAAAATGAAAACATTTGTCCTGTTATTTGTTATTTTTCATACAGCTTCTAAAGGGAGAGTAACTATGGACAAAAACTAAAGGGCAACTAAACCAGAGTGTCTCAGACTCCAAAATGGTATAATTACTTTCTCACTGTTTCCAACTGACATATCGATATCCCGAGACTTAAGATAATGAAGGAGGTATAATGTGCCATTCTTTCAAGATTTTAGAGTCATTTTTTTATTTTATGTGTATAGATATTTTGCCTGCATGTCTGACGTTGTACCACATCTGGTACCTGCAGAGGTCAGGGATGGTGTTGAATCCCCATATAAACAAAGTTGCGGATGATTGTGACCTGCCATGTGGGTCTTAGAAACGAAATAGGGTCCTCTGCAAGTGTATCAAGTGCTGTTAGCCACTGTGTCATCTCTCCAGCCCCCTCCTGTACTGTAATTTTGACCACACTGAATAATGTAAGCATGAAGTCATAAATATGTGGTTGAGCCCTTTCTTCTAGAAGTTCAGGGAGGACCAAATGGCCACTGTTTCCTTCTTGGGCATCAGCAGGAAAACTATGTCTAAAGCTAACCACAGGTTAATCACTCATAATGAATCCACAACATAGGGCCTGGCTTTAGGAAAGGCCTCCATAATAAAGGTATTAGATATTAATTTGCAGCCTACATAAGAATTGTCTTAGTCTATGGGCTGGTGTCCCACAAAGTGATATTATTTGTTAAGTTTCTGAGAACTCCTTATAGGAAATGTCATTGTAGGTTTTGTGAACTCATTATGCAACTACTTAGAAAAAGATCTAGGCTTGCAAGGGGATAGTTTATCAATGGTCAAAGTAATGTTTGGTATGTTTTTAAGTCTTCAGTAAGAGCTAAACTGACTCATAAAATAAGCTGTTTTGTTTACACAATATGGCACAATGAAGCTTAATATGCTACCATCTCTGACAATAATTGACATAACTTCTGTCTATAGTTACAAATGCGAAGATTGAGTATTATATGTGGATATGAATTGTCTCAGCATTGTAGGAGCTTAGAGAACTTGAAATTGCATACTTATTTGGGGCTGATGGTAAGTTGTGGGTCTTTGAGCATAAGGCAATGATTACATGCATTTATTTCATTGTTGTCACTTAAATCTGCTAATACTGAATGAGTCCAGGAGTGGTGGCAGTGTAGCTCTCTATAAACCATTTCTGGCAATGTAGGGTTCTTTTTATGGACACTTAAAGGCCAACTTGTTACACTTAAACATGGACTTACAGGTTGGCATGCTGCTTAATATGAGTGTCCCTACCTAGCATGCAGGAGTCCGAAGGTTTAGTTCCTCAGCACCATTAACTAACTGTGTTTGCTGTCTGTGTCAGATAAGGGTGTTAGTAATGATAGTGTGGTTTGCTGGTTATCTTTCACATCCCAGTGAAAGATAACTTTTTCCTAGAAGGAATAGTATTTTCTTTTTAAGTGTTTGAAGTCCACATGTATATTGAGGTGAATTTAAATTTCAACCTACTTGGATCAGGCCCTGAGATGATTGCACAGATAGATATCACTTGTGTTTTACGAAGATCCTTGAGCTGTGCTTGTGGCTTTGAGCCACAGGCAGGGGTCGAGTGTCTCTGTGTGGCATTCTGAGAAGGGAAACCCCAGAGCTAGTGAGAGACACGGAAGGCTGTGGTTCAGCTTGTAGACAATAGGCCTAATTGCACACTTTTCTGCTTTCTTCAGCTGAGCCTAAGTGAGACATTGCTATTTCCCCAGATCTGCTTCTCTAGCAACCTTCAGGAAAAAAGGACATTTGATGTGGCCACAGGTATAATCTTTGGAATTGTAAGTACAGAGAAGAAGAATTTTGCTTTCTTAACCACTCAGCTACTGAAGTGATTTTTAAGGGTTGGGTACAAGAGGACTCAGGATTCCCACTGTGAAGAGCTTTCTGGGCCATGGTTTGGCCACATGGGTCTCTTGAGAGGTCCCTCTATAATGTACCATGGGCAGATCTCTTATGGCCCTTGTGTAATGGGCTACAGTCACCCTCGCTCACTTAGGTGACAGAGGGTAGGGGTAAAAAGGGAGCCATCAACACAACACCCTGTTCAGAGTCCAGCGCTGGGGCAAGGACGTAGGGCTTTTCCTTTTGGATCCCCAGTGGAGTGTGTCTTGGCCAAACTTCATCAGAAAGGGAGCAGGGGTTGGCTCTCCAGCAACCAGCCAGCAGTTCATAGAGGATCTGGGGCCTCTGCTCAGGTAGACCAGTGAGGTGAGCATTGCATCACAGGAGTCTCCATTTATTTTATTTTATTTTATTGAATGTGTATTACAGTGGATAGGGCAGTGGGGGCAATCTGAATTCATGTCCATACCAAGGCAAAGAACCTGCCACCATATCTATCTCCCTGCCACCGTCTGCAGCCGCTCCCTAAGGAAAATAGGAGAGGGCCCTGTGCCAGTGTGGTAGCTTTAGGGGTGAGCAAGCTTTTAGTTGTGCCCCTAGAGTCCCTTCGCATGCTGTGTGTACGTGGTGTTTTAATTAACAGGGGCAGGCCTTTCAAGTGGTCCTGCTTGGAGGAAGGCTTGCTTTATATTTACCTTCTCTAATCAAACAAACACATGCTTTCTTTCTCCTGGTTTTAGCATAGCAAACATGGGAAATCTCACCCCAGGCGGATTCCTTTATAGCTGGTTGACCCAAGTTGTACTCTTATTTGTTTATTTTTGATGACAGACCTTGATTAAAGGCTTCCAGTGTACCTTTTAGCTCTCTTATGAAGCCAACCAGGAGAGAAGGCCGGTCAGCTGCTGCACCCTGAAGAAGCTCCCTGTCTGGCCTGAGAACAGTGGGATTTGGAGGGAGGTGGGATGACTCCGAAAACTGAGCAGGCAAGAATGCAGTCTCTAGTCTCTTTGTTGAGAGAGTTGGCCAAACATAATTTTATTGGCCAGTGGCTCCTGCTTTAGTAACCTTTCACCCCTGTGGCTCTTGAAGGTGCGGGCCACTGGCCGGCCTTGCCTTTGAACTCCTCATGGCTCCTGCCTCCTCAAAGGCTCCCAGTCAGGGCTTGTGTTTTGCTTAGGACCTCACCTCACAGCAGGGTCTCAGCAGTTGGGAAAACTGATCCACCCTAAGATTGCTGACATATTTGAAGGTGATACCCCTGAGACTGGAAACCTATGGCTTTCTATTTCAGGACCTGTCTGTCACATGTCAAGAAACATGACTCAGGCTTCCCCCTTTCCTCCTCTATGCCTTCTTGTTTCCCACAGGACAGGAGGTCATTACCCTGGGGGTATTTCCTAAGAGTGATCACAAAGCCCTCTCTTACTCCATTTTCTTCCAACTTTCCCCAGGGCATTTGTTTTGAGAGTTATGTTGTGAAGAGTGCAGAAGCATTCGAATACCAAGGTGTCCTCAGTGTCCAGGAGTATCACTGATGGTGCAAGGACCAGGGCTTGCATACTTTGTCCTGATGCCTTCATATTCCAACAGGCCTCGGTTGTAAGATATCCCAGTAGTCCTCCCCAGTTTCAGGGCCAACTCAGTCTTGCAAGAGGACAGAAAGAGCAGGGGTTGCTCTGCCACCTCTGCACATCCTGCTCAAGGAGTTATTTAGAGGCAGCTCTGGGAACACATGAACATTAGATGATTTCAGCCTAGCATCGTTGGCAAGGAACCAAACTTGTCATTCTAAAAAATATTCAGAAGAAAATCCATCTTCTGCTCATGATGCTTTTAGCCTAGGTGAAGTCCTGGATGGAGGGACCTTAGTAGAGTCTCTTTGCTTTTTCTAGAAACCAAACAGTTTACTGTTGATAATTATATAATCTTTGCCAGAGAAGACAGGATGGTGTGGCAGGGTCTGTGTTCAGAGCAAAGGCTACATTGTGTCTGCTTTTGACCCCTGCCCTCCTGTGGTTTTGAGAAGTGTTTTGGGGTATGGTTCTGAGCTCATACTTCCCAGTCAGGGAAGGGTAGAATGGTGGTTTCTGTCAGCTACAGCATTGGCCACTTTTGAATGCAGTAGCTGTCATTCTCTTCTACAGAGAGCAAGCTTGTCTGAGAAGCTGAGTAAGTAGCATAAAGGTTTGGAAGAATTTAAAGCGTGTGATGTAAAAGTATGATGTTTTATTTATGGAATGCCTTGGTTCTTTGTTTAGCATCTTTTGAATGATGATAATCATCAAAAATAACTTTTAAATACCCAGTTTAGGGAAGCCACTGTACACAGTTCAGAGTTGTACAGGCTAAGGTCTTTGTTCTCAAGCCTGTTTGTGTCTGAGTTAGTTGGCTAGGGCTGCCTCAGTGGAGTAGCACAGACGGTGTGGCTGTGTGGCTTAGACACTAGAAAGGTGTTTCTCACAACCTGGAGCCCAAGTCCAGGATGAAATGGCAGGGTTGGATTCTCTGAGGCTTCTTTGTGCTCACTGAAGGCCACCCTCTCAGTGCTTTTTCACACAGTGTCTTCTGAGCTCATGCACCACTCTGTCCCAATTCTTTCTTATAAGGACACAGATGGGCACAGGGCCCACCATAACAGCTCATTTTGACCCAGTCACCACTTTAAGGGTTCTTTCTCCAAAGTCATGTCCCCTTCAGCTTGGGTTGTGTCAGGTACAAAGCCTGTAGTTGTCAGTTAGTGGCTCAGTTGAGAAGGACCTTACTGAAAAATCCACCCTGAGGTATTTTTCCTGAGCATTCCAGCTACTTCCTGAAGGACAAGCAATAGGAATGGAGAGAGGAACCAGGGAGGAGTAATGCTTAACGAACCTCAGAAAACACCTCAGACTGGCCTGCAGCAAAACTCAAGAGTGTGAGGAGACTGCCCAGCTGTCCTGGGTATTTTCTAGTGGGGTCAACCATATGTGCATGCATGTGAGCACCACCTATATGTGCACACCAGAGGGCATGACCTTAGCATGTCTTCTTCAATCACCTCTCCATCTGACCTTTTCAGACAGGGTCTCTTACTGAACCTATAGTTATCATTTTGGCTAGGCCAGCTGAGCCCCAGGTCTCCTCCTTTCTCCATATCCTGAGCACTGGGGATGGAGATAAATGATTGACTTTTATGCTGTTTATGCTGAGAAGACAGACTCAGGTCTTCATGCTTGCATCATACATGACCCACTGAACAATTAATATAAACCATTTTACCTTTTTAAGATTATTAATAGTCTACCAAGTTGGCATACAGTTAGTGAAAAAATATTTAACAAACACAGTCATGAATCCCACAGCCTATTAAATGACCCCCTTTCCTCGCTCCCACCCTTCCACACCGTCCACTCAGGTGGTTCTCTACCCCTCGCACTTCTGTTGGCCATCTCTGAGCCTTCACCCATTTTCCTGGTGCCAAATGAACATTACATTACTGTCATCCCATGGCTCCCTAGCACACTCCAGAGAATTTCTAAAGTATTCTCAGTAGCGACACACCTCATCCTCATATGACATACAACACAGCTTCCCTTTGTGTCCTTGAATTTTCTACAAGTTCTAGATCGTATTCTTTAACCCAAAGCTGTGGGTTATTCAGAGCTAACAGGCAAGGGAGGACAAGGATTGGTATTCAAATTCCATCCTCAAACAACTGGCCAAGAAACCCCCAAAGGTCCATATACATGGACATGTCATCCGTTCAGAAACAAAGTGTCCCTTTTATCCCCAGTCTCAGGATTTATGTTTATGGGGGTGATTAAAGAGTTAACATTCAGCCTACAGAGTCCATTTAATGTTGCTTGTATGTGTTTATTACTGACTGGTATTTGTGTGTGTGTGTGTGTGTGTGTGTGTGTGTGTGTGTGTGTGTGTGTTTTATAAAAATAAAGAAAAAGAGGTCATGAATTTGAGGAGTTGGGAGGAGGACACAGAGATATTGGAGGGAGTACAGAGAGGAAAGGAAGTTATGTAAATATAGTACTCATGTATGAAATTTAAAAATATTTAAAATATGTTAATAAAAATGAATTAATATCCAGTAGTTCCTTGGGACAAAATGCTACAGCACATCTTCCTTAATAATTACAAACAAGCATGACAATCTGAACAATAACAACCACAGGAGTGGTCTCTGATACTGAATGAGTATGCTCAGTGAGTTCACAAGAGGTTTTTTTATTTTTTTCAATTAGGGTGTTTTTCATGGGTCAGTATATGTTTCAAGCTCTTTACAAGTTTACATGGCTTTGGATTACATGGTTGATTCCCAGAAAGAGGCGACAAACCTAGTTTTCAGAAAAAGAACTAGAACATGGTCAAAGGGAGGCAAATGTGGAATGGAGTGCCCCACAACCACATCATGAACTAGAAAAGGCCAGCACAGGCCAGCAGCCTCTGTAGCATGCTCTGCACTCGATGTCCCCAAGGCATGTGGACCTAGCAGACGGAAGCTCTTGGAGGGTGACAAGCAAACTCAACGATAGCTGAATCTGCTTGAGACACTCTGATCTGGGTAAGGTTGGCAGCACCCTCACCCCCAATACTGGCCCTGCCTCAGGTGGGTGTAGGCATTTGCCTTTTTTACTATTTGGCCCGTGCCCAGCACTCAGAAGTGTTCCAGGACCGAAGCAGGGGTTCAGGAAACACCTGTCGATTAATGAGCCCTCGCTATGCAGAAGGCAACATTTTAAGTGCTTTACCTTCATTCATTCGTTTAATCCTCACAGCTCAAGGAATTACCCCTGTTTTATGATGAGAAAATTGAGGCATTGACAAGTTCATGGGGGTTACTGGTTCAGCTTTTCCCTGACATAAGATTTAACCTGAGGAGCACTGAAGTGTGGGCTAAGTTGGGCTCCCACTGAGCTCACTAAAGGAATCAAGCAGCAGCAAA